TAAAAGGGCTAATCCAAAAATGTCATGCTCATAACTGTGCCTGAACCTCTACTGGGAACTGCTACTTTTTCTTTCCTAATCCTTACTATCGTCATTTCCTCTACTTCTTTTGAAGTTTGTCACACTATTGTGACCCGCTATTTCCAGGATGCCTGGATAGTCGAAGCAGACTTTGTGCTGTTGAAGCTAGAGAGGTGAGCAGAATAAGTCTGATTCCCTGTAAGGACGTTTCTGTTGACATCCACCCCTTGGCGCTCATGTGACCTTACGCAGTTGCGAGCACCGTAAAACCTCTACTAAAACAAACTAAGGCATCACCTGCGACTTTCCTGTCCACCCTGGAATTTGAAAACGTCCGAGAGTATGTTATCCTATTTGCCACAATCTTTGGCAATTCTAGAAACAAAAAATTAAAACTAACAAATGTATACAGTGGGTTTATAAACCTTATAACAAGTGGCGTGACGACAAGCCCGTGCATTTTGAAGAGGAAATATTGTTATAGTTATAGGTGCATGATCATTTCCTTGTAGCAGGGGCGAAGAAGTCTGCACACAATTGACACACTCTGCATGCGTACCTTCCAAACACGCACGCACGAGCGGTATACTGGTAGATGTGCAGGTCAACCAGTAAGTGGTTTTTAATTAGTGAAATCACTTACTCCTCTCGGGTGGTCAAATTGTCTGTCAATTTGTCCGATTGTCGTACAACAGCTGCACCATTAACTGTAACTCTTACCTTTCCTCACGAATCGTTGCAAACGCTGTGACTGAATCACACATTATTAAAAATGTAAATCTAGGTGGATTTTTAAAAAACACAAAAAACATTAGCATAGTTCTTTTTTTCATTTTATTTTAAATGCACGTGTTTTAACGCCTCCACCGACATAATAATTTTGATAATTTAAGAAACAGGCTTCCGACTATGTCTGCATGTCAGAGTCACCCCGACTGAGAGGGGTACTTACAGTAGCCCAGCAGACAGAGCAAGATACGCGTAAAAGTTTTCTGCCCACCCGAGAATCCAACAATATGTGACGTTATTTATGATATTACTTTCCAGACAAAGAAATCATCCAATATACACCCGCATCATTGGCCTCACCTTTGACATCTTTGCTGGTTTTGAGGTTGGAAGCCGACCTCAGGTATGTTATCCCTTCAGTCACCATCCCTGGCCATTCTAGGGTGAAAAAAATCAATAATTGTTTGGTTTAGGAAAATTTTTACGGCGCTAGCAACAACATTATTAAGTTATATAAGTGCGCGAAACACAAGCTGGTTGTATTCACGGCAGTTCATAGCACGGCTTGGTTTCATTTATTAAATGATTAGGTTAAAAATGTTATGGTAAAATCTAGTTTTAAAATCAACACTTTACATACATTTCATAAAGAAGAAAAAATCCACTAATTTAGGTAAAGGCCCATCCTTTAACTTCTTTTCCAGATTATAAACCATGCTCTGTCATCTGCTTTTGTCTCCACTTTGTGCACTCCCTCCCGTGTTCCCCTTTGCCCCCCCCCCAAAAAAAAAACAACAACAAAAAAACAACAACAACAACAACAACCGGGCTGCTAACTCTCTCTCTCTCTGCCCTTTTTCGACTGCTACTCCTTGGCTCCTTCTTACTGTCTTTCAGCCACACCTCTGATCTTCAGGTAGATAAGATCTAACACTGTAAGAGCGAAAAATCTCGCACGTTAAAGATCCTTTTGTGGTTCTAAAATCCACATCAGTAGACTTCTGCCGCAACCCGGGCAAAAATCAAAATTCGTACCAAACTGATATTAATGTTCAAAGTGTCCCGCGTGCTCACATGACTTTTTGGAGTTGCGAGCGCCGTAAAACATTCATCAAAACAAGTAACCTATACGTGTAACAGCTGTTATAAAAGTTGTAGTAAATACGCCCAGTCAAACTTAGTGTTTTGGAAGACAAGCATTTGCAGCATTTTGTGAAATCAAAGAAACTTAAAAGAGGATTTGAGCTTTTATTTGGTGCATTGCTGTTTTGCGGAAAGGACATGCATTACATATCAAATGAACTAAGAATTATATACCTATGGGGGTGGACCGAGTTATACTCAGATCGTTCCAGACAGTCGGAAAAAACAGTGAAGTCAAAACAAATATCTCATGAAAATTGGACTTAAAATTTAATTAACGAGTTTAGTCATATTTTGTATGGTAGACACTGATTTTTCGTAGAGCCATCATGGTGAAATCGAAGAAATTTTCTTTCTTCCGTAGGTTTTGACATTTTTACCGATTTATTT